AGTACTTCGGAGGCTGCTGACGTCAACAGTTGCATTGTCAATTAGTAGGCTAGTTGTAGCTGTGTAGGGAGTAGGCTGGGCGCCGAGCGCCAAGTAGAGAGATAGAGACTGGATACATATGTTGGTGGTGCCGAGAGCAAGCTCTCATTGACATTGACTTTCAGTGCTACGATCCTCCATTGGTGTTATATTGGTGCAATGCTGCTTTCTGAACACTGTGATACGATTTGGCTTTCAATGTGATTCTGCAATCTGAATATTGTCATCTCGCTTCTGTTCATTTTCCTTGCATTTTCATCACTGTAGCACCCATTCGTGTTCGGAGGGAGAACGCGAACGTATTATGGAGAACGCGAATATCCTCCAAGAACCAGCGAACGCGAACATTAAAAAAAGGAAAAAAACTTTAAAAAAGGTCCTCAAAAAAATATGAAAAACTTCAAAAAAGTGTATGTTATGTAAAATAATCCTCAACAAAACTTTAATCCTTCATGGGCTGCGGGGGTAATTCTCCCATAAGTCCGCGCCGAGCATCGGTTGTTTCCTGCATGCTTGGCCGTACGATTGTCAGATCGATGGTGGAGACTGTCCTATTTCGTTGATCCGAGCGGTATGTCATACGGTCTCGTGCGCCCTGGTGATGACACGTCTCATGTTTTGTGGTAGTGCATTGTGATTGTTGATCTTTCCTTATCGCCTGGTTGAGATATGTTGATTGGGCGTTGTGGGATGGGTTGTCCTTTTGTTTTCGCCATTGTTGTGTCACAAGTGTTGTTTTTCATGTATATAAAACTGGATGAAAAAAAGATAGATGCAATAATGCCAATAACCTGCTCAAATATGCCTATGTTATCGGCCAGGATGGCCACCCACAGGCCATGAATCGGCCTCAAGGCCCAGCGTCCGATCGTGGGAAACAGAGCCCTGAAATGAGGCTTCAGAGGCCCTGCGCCCAACAGTTGACCGAAGTCATCGGTATATCGGAATATTGGGGCTCACGCGTCAAAGTCTTCACGGACCCAGTCCAGGCCACCGATCAGACACACACACTTGGTTGTACACAGGTGTCCAGGCATTACTTTGGTCCAAGTGGAAGTCTGTAACTGTACGAGATCCAGGGCGTCGGCTGTGAGTCAATCTGAGCTTCCACACGTGAGAGACCAGAGGCTGGTCAACGGTGTCAACATTATTTATTGACCCAGCCCCTGGGGGTCAACATTCAGTCTTGCACTTGCTGCTTGACGCTGGCACGGCGCTGGCTTGACACTGGCTGGACGCTGGCAAGACGCTGGCTCTACGCTGGCATTGTGCGACGATGACGCGAGACTGCTGCTTTGCGTGCTGGTGCCAGCTGTCTTCTCGGATGCTGACGTGGCACTTGCCACACTGTCTCTGGCATTGCTGACGTGGCGCATGCCACACTGTCTTCGACGCAGATGGGGATGCAACAAGGAGGGAGATCAGGAACTGGGGGATTTATTGAGTGCGAGAGGGAAACTTACCGTCGACATTGCTCACTGCAGAGACGTCTTCATGGGAGACTTGTGCCTATGTGGCACTATGTTGTGATCAGATCTCGTCAGACTGGTTTCTGGGACACTGTTTACTGACATGGATGTGGGGAGATGCCCGAATCAGAAGTGGGGATTGAGGGAGTTCTATCTACAGAGACATTGATGGATACTTTCTCTTCCACCCTAAGTTAATTATCCCTCCTATCTACTTCGTCCTATGGTTACGAGACATTATATTACAGAATCAATACAGATCACATTTCATGATTATTGGAGACATTTATCAGCGCTTAGACTTCTTGTATTTCGGCACTTGACGAGTTTCTCTCCTGACTGGGTTCATTACAATAGATGTTGGTTTGCGGTAATAATTTGGCAGGGGGCATATCTTTTAGTGGAAAGACAAAAGCACCAAAAAAAACTTTAAAAAAGTCAAAAGAGCTAATCGACCGATTTCACTTTCGTCGACGCCGATCTTTGCATAGATTTGTTGATCTTGGCTGTTGAACGGGCTCGTTTTCACTAGCGGCGATCTCT